TGAGCCTGGATCCAGATTTATTGTTGATTCTGTTCATGGTGGAGAATCCTGCTTCACAGCAGCAGGTTGAGCTTTACCGTATTAACAGGAGAAGCGGCGCAAAGGAAATTGGACACTGTCGTCAGACAGCATGCAGTAATTTATAAATGTTTTAAATCAGTTTGGTCCAGATCTGGACCGCGGTCCGCTAATCAGTGACCTGTGGTGTAAAACAACTGGCCTCAAAAAGGGATTTAAACAAGAAACATGATTTGATTTTGATTTTTTTTTAATAATTCAGCACATTTCTTTTCTTTTTTAAAAATCTTTTCTAAGGAGGATTTAAACACTGAAACTGTAATTCAAATAAATGCTTAAAAGTTTAGTTTTTTGTCAAAGGAAAGCTCCATCTACACCTTGAAGCTTTCTCTCTCCGGTTCTTTTCCCTGTAGAGACATCACTCAGGACAAACTATTTAAACAACACTTCATAATCTATATGTATTTAAAAACCAGGAGACACAACAACAGATTTGGATAGAAATTCTAATCTTACTCAGATCAGAGAAGTTGCTTAGAGTCACGGAAAGCAGCTGCTTATCAACCGGGCTCAAATCTGGTGAAGTTGCCTCGATTAACAGATAGAGAAGCATTTTATACACCAAGTCTGCCACATGATCACATCATTACATTATACACCTCTCAGGAAGCGGCCAAGATTCACCGTTACAGAATCATACATCAATCATACATCTCCAGTCTGCCACATCATTACATCATTCTATCGTTACATCATTATATCATTATATCATACACGTTTGCAGATGAGGAGACGTCCATGGCTCCTGCCTTATTAAAATATTACACTTTTTGTTTTTAGATCAGTGACTTCGTTATCAATACATTCCCAAATCTTGAAGAATGAAGATGATAACTATATATCTGGATCTGTTCTTAAATAGATAAACTACTGGGGGAAACATCAGTTCTGACCTGCAACAGGCAGCTAATATTAGGGTGTAATAAACTCACACCTCATTAATAGAAATGATCCTAAGAAGCTAAATGTTTAATGTTGGTCTTCAGACATTAACTGGTAAAATTATCTGTTTTCTTCATTTTAATTCTGTCAAAAAGATTAATGAATGCATCTCGGTGTCCCTCGCATTCGCCTGAGAAAAATGTGTTTTGATCATTCTGTTGCAGTAGTGGATGAGGTCATCAGTCACTAATGTTCGTTGTTGGGTTGTTTCCGCTGGTCGCTCTAAACGGCGCCGGTAGAGCAGGAAGTGAAGGACGATCTGAAAGTGGTTGAAGTGAAAGTTTACGATCAGATCAGATGTTGGTCTCTGTTTGCACGTTTTCTGGCAGCATTCCTGCGTCTCATTCCCGTTTCCACGTTTCCTCCTCAGCTGGCACTCGGCAGTTTCTTTGAGGATGGGAACGATGATGACATCATCACGATTCCTCAGCCGGAGGGCGGCTCCTCCGTGTCTCGATCTACTGGGCCCAGGTAAGATTTTCAACACCTCAGGTTGTTTCCTCTTAATAAAGTCTTGGTTTATTTCTTTATTCAGTTTATTAAACCCAAACTGTGTTTGGTCTGCAGTAGTCAGCCCAGGGTGACCTCCTTCAGAGATCTGATGCATGAGGCAGAGGATGAAAGCGATGAGGAGGAAGGTCAGCGGTAAGTCTGCTGCGGAGTCATACTGTTCCTTTTTGTTTCTTATATCAATAATGTTTTAAAATATTTTTTTTTTTTTTCCTAAGAGCTTCTGTGTTTTTAGAGCTCTAATAAACAAAAAAGTAAAAAAAAAAAAACAATATTACCTCAGAGGATTTGTGGGTAAGTCGGGGGTAAAGCAGCCATTTTCCAGTTTCCCTTGGAGGCCGCTCCTCTGGTCTGATCACCCGTTCTCCGACTGGATGGTAAAAAGGTGCGACTGGTTCCAGAAAACACCAAACCAGTTGCTGACGGGCTGTGGGGAAAAAAACTGTTTGGCTATATATCATGATTTTCAGCTGCCGATATAATATCGAGCGCTCAGTTCCTTCGGTTAAAGAAAACAAAAAAAGGTTTTATCTAAAACAACGGGTGGAAATGGGCTACCACTGTTAGATGGCGCTCTGCGGCGCTGCATCATATCTGTAGTTGAGGCCGTCACACAGAAAGACGTGTGCTCTGTTCGAATCCATGGGAGGCCAGATTGGTTAGCTGATTACGTCACAGCGCGGCGCCGAGGTCAGTTCAGATTGAGAGACTCCTCGTTATCCGGCCGATAAAGGCGTCCTTCTATTAGCGCATTTTGAAGAACGGGTCCGCTGTGTCCTCTATAGCCCTGGGTTTCCCAGGATTCATTGCGTGACCAAGCAAGCCGGCTGCTCCGTGCTCAGAGGAAAAAGGGAAATGGCGCCAAATAGTGGTGAAAATTGGAAGTTCAGTTTAATATAATCCAGTCATTTAATAGTTCCGTCTGAAATGAATGAAAATAGTTGTTTTAATGGTTATTGAGTCAGATATGTGGCGGTAATGTTTGATTTAGCTAAAGGTTTTTATCTGTTACTGATTAAATGAGTTTGGCTGTAATTTAAGGACAGATTCTAATTTATCTGCGGGGGGGGGGACTATAAATCTGATTGGATGCAGCGTTTGAAGCTTGTCGGAAATGTTAACAACACCCAGAACAGCAGAGAGAAGTTCGGTCTTCATTCTTTTCCTGCTTTGTGTGTCAACGCTCACCGTTGCTAGGTAACAGAGCGTACCGTGGTAAAAGCTGCGAAAGGCTGGACCTGTTTGAATCCACAGCCAAAACTCTTCCGGTCTCCTTATTTCCACGGACCTGGAAGGAACCAGATCCAGACCGCAGCCTTTAAGATCAAACACACCGCGGACCGACTCCAACGCCGTGGATACCAAAATAACTCAATGATCAATATCTTCTGATGAACATATTAGGGCTGAAACAAATGATCAGATCAATTGATTTTTTTTTTATAATTGTTACCTAATTTAGTAATTGATTAATCATTAACTGGAGTACAGAGACTAAAATCTGCCTTAAGCTGAAAGATCGACCCACTTAGAGCAGGAACTGTTAGGAAATTGTAAAAAAGATTTGAAGATAAAAAATAAAAAGTTTTCGTCTGTCAATCTGCTCCATTCAGATCTCCAACAGTGGAAAAGTTTTATTTTCTCCTGGTTTAAATTCGTAAAAAATCTTCTTTAAGACCGTTTGGTTATCCGATTATTAAACAATAAAATAATCGACGGATTCATCGATTTGCAAAATGCAATGTTAAAACCATTCCTTTTAACACAAAGCTTTGACGTTTTAAAGATGTTTGACTTTGTCTAAAAGGTATTTGTTAGTAGTGAGAGATTCCAGCCAGACTAATCGAAGGACTTCAGTCTAACCCGTCTGTCTTTACTCCCTGTCAGGTTTTTCGCGGGGGGATCAGAGCGCAGCGGGCAGCAGATCGTTGGGCCTCCAAAGAAGAAGAGCTCCAACGAGGTGGTGGAGGATCTGTTCAAAGGGGCCAGAGAACACGGCGCCGTGCCGCTGGAGCGCAGCGGGAAAGGCCCAGGAGAAACCAGCAAAGCCAGGGTAGCTCCCAGTGTTTTCTCTGTGTGTCGGACTGATAGCTGAAGCATCATCTAACAGATTGTTTTCTCTTTCTTATGGTCTGTGTGGTTCTCAGGCCTTTGTTGGCGGCGGTTACAGGCTGGGAGCAGCTCCTGAGGAGGAGTCGGCCTACGTGGCGGGAGAGAGGCAAGGCGGCAACAGCCAGCAAGACGTAAGAACATGTTTAGATGTTTGGTTTAGTGCTTGGATGGGTTTGAAATCCTCACTTCCATCCCGTCCATTCTTTAGTCTCATTCTTTTCTATTGGCTGACTGACCAATAGATCAGATGGTCTGAGCTTCTGGATGTAATGTAAAACCTTCAACATCTAACTTAGGGCCCTGTCACACCTTGATGATTTATCCAGCGTCTGCCCGACGTCCCAGAATCTCCTAAAACGCTGAACTTTCTATGCATCTTTTCAGTCTTGGGCGTATAGATAAGAGTATTCAGAACTTCTGTCCAACTACAGCCTAACTTCTGCATAACGCACGGCAGCGTTATGCCCAGGAAATTAACTCCAAGTTTAATTTCCTGGGCATTAGGAAGCATAAATTTAACAATGTGCCCAGTCTGCATAAAAAGATGTCTTTTATCACGGTATTAACCAGGCTGCTGTTTACAGCCCGGCGCAAAGAAAAGAATAAATAAAAGAAAAATAAAGAAAGCAGGTTTATGGTGTCTGCTAGGAAGTTTGTTGGTGCATTGAGGTAGATTGAAGTCTTTTTTTCATACAAAACTAAAGGGATAAACTCAAATCTGACGTCTTGTGCTGCGAATTGATAACTCCGTCTGACAGCATCATCTCCTCCCAGCAGGAAAAAGCATCGTCTTCTTGCTCCAATTTGCACGTTTTCCCTTGAACTGATCCGATTAAATTCCTGCATTCTACTAAAATGTCGTGTTTTTTTTTCTAGGTCCATGTGGTGCTGAAGCTGTGGAAGACAGGGTTCAGTCTGGATAACGGTGAACTTCGGACCTACAGCGACCCTGGAAATGCAAACTTTCTGGAGGCAATCAGACGTGGGTGAGAAGAACCTCCTTCCAGCTCATCCAGACCGTGTCCTCAGAGGACGAATAGTCGCCAGTCTGTCCCCAGAAGACCAAACCAGGGACCCACCCAGGCCTCACTGTCGGTTTGTTCTTTCAGGGAGATTCCTCTGGAGCTGAGGCAGCGCGCTCGAGGAGGCCAGGTCAACCTGGACATGGAGGACCACAGAGACGAGGACTTTACCAAGCCCAAGGTGGCCTTCAAAGCCTTTGAAGGAGAAGGACAGAAGCTGGGAAGGTGAGATTCTCAGGTTTGATTGAACACGTTATCTGATCAGCTCAGCTGGACTGGAGCCAGTTTCCTCTGAAAGGTCAAAGGTCTCCAAAGCTTTACTGTGATTAAAGAAACTGTTTAACCCCTTAGCAGCAAATTCCACCTGAAATTACATCAGTGAGTTAAAGCAAGTTCAGCTTCCTAACTATAAATTGATAATACGATTGTTTGTGTTTGTATGATGGAAAGGCATAGATGAATGTTTTTCAGGTGGAGCCACTATTTTAAATGTCAGCATGTCTGATTTATAGGTGATTAAACACAGAAAAAAATATTTATCCTCGCCAAATAAAACACTGCAAACGCCATGAAAGCCCATTAGAAGCTCTGGATGAACCTCAGACTTTATTGATCCACATCTAGACTAGAAGTCCAGCTGATCTGGACTGAATCAGTTGAAGCATGTTTGTTCCATGAAGGTTTTAGTTTGCAGAGTTCTAGGAGGAAAGGGGATTTAAAACAAGGCATTTTGTCCACTAAT